AAGCGGGGAGCGCCAGTTGCGTGTTCATGCACATGGAGTGTAAGCATCGACAGGAGACATTTATGCCACAGTTTTGTTAAAAAGGTAAAAAAAATTAAAAAAATTAAAATTAAATTAAAAATTATACCATTTTTAGGCGGATACATTTACAATCGAAATAATTATTGCCCTTTTAAACACCTTACTTTTAATCTGAAAAGAAACTTCCAATACAAGCGAACATGTGAATCCCAGGGAGTAATTGAGAAGAAAAAGAGTCGATCGCTGGGACCACACTTTTATTCGCCTGACGTTTCCAGTTAGTGTGCTTAACATTTCCGTTGCATACTTACCTTTATAGAGTACGTTTTATTGTTTTCTAGGGGTAATGCTACCTTAGGCTCGTGGCGTTAAATAGAGGTCGGTGTTGTACGCAGCCCTTATAGGAATGCCACCAAGACAAGAGATATTAATGTTTGTAAGCCTTCTCACTTTAATGATTAGACATCATTAATTATTGAAAATATTGAGAAAGCTTTCAAAGGACTAGCGTTTAGGCTTTGAGAAATAAGAGCACCTCTTTTATAAACCTAGTCTTGGTATACGACTTACTGAAAAGTCTCCGGTTTTATACAGCGATATGAATTCTCCTCTTACCGCAGATGGGGTTAAACTTATATCTAGGGAGACGAACTACATGTGGCCATCTCCTTAATCCACGCCTAACCCTAATACCAACCATTCTACACCTAATACTAATACTAACCCCTCCTGGAGTTAAATGCAAGGCCATTCGCAAGCTGGACTACGAACCCTGGGATTCGCTGATATGGCACTGGTTAGGTATAAAGATGAATGAAAAAATGCAATAACCATTCCAATCCCGTAGGCGCACATTGTCTTAGCAAAGACGCACACAGACGCTGACATTAACACAAAGCTTCCTGTTCTAGGTTTGACACTGTGGGCATCTTCGTCGTCATGTTTTTCCAAGTGGCAAAAACTGTGGGAAAGAGCGCCCTCGTGGTCATTCTGGTGATGATCTCCTGTGCAGTACCCTTCTATGTCCTCTTCAGGATTCCTGACGCCGAGGTAAGTCAGTATCCGAATATCATATCATGCACGTGCTGTAAGACACAGATTTGTGACAGGAGAGAAAATTAAATGGCATTTGTTTTTAATAGGAAACTTTTAAAGCGTTCAGAGACCGTATCCGGTCTATCGCAAGAAACATTAGATGGAAGTTTTAAATGTCTTGTTGGTGTGGCAGGAGGTACTTATATGGGGTTCTTATTTTGGCTATCGCGCAACTCGATTCCCAGCTATTTCACTCGCACGAAAATAGTGGCTTTTCCATTTTTTTCCTTTGAGCTGCCTGGTAAAAATTAGTACCTAAGTAGTATGCATGCGTTGCGTTTATTTTCAATACTCAAATATTTTTGATAAGTAACATACACATACCTGTAATTATTTGGTAGAAATTATCGTCATATTAAGATTTTATACTCGAAGAGCAGATATCTCTTGATTTGAACGTTTGTAATCAGGCGCTTTTTAAGATCGTGTTCATTCAAATAGCCTTACATTTGTCCGTTTAGTACTATGGCTTATGCAGCATTCAACATGATAGAAGTTATTTGCAGCATGACATAAGGCTGGGAAGGTGTTTTGATAATAGTATGCATAAGTGTATCATTTTTCTTTATGATTTGCCGTTTACTAATCCCAAACGCAAGTGAAACTGCATGTCGTGTTCCAAATTAATCGGGAATTGGGTAAAAATAAAGCTGCCCGGCAACGTTATATGGTTATACATAAATAACTACTATATGCATTTTAGTAGTTATAGCTATGCTTATTACTGCACGCCCCCCAAAACGCGATAATCTTTGGCCTCCTATAGTTACTTTTAGTTTTATTTGTTTTAGTTGCTATTTTATTATTTGTTTCATTAGCTTAAGTTTAGTTGCAGTTTAGTCAGTCTAATTCTTAATTCACTTTACATTTTAAGCGAGATGCGGTTGCTTTTCGGCTTATCGTACTTCAATATATGTTCAGATGCATCAGGAGCCATTAAGAGTTTTAAAAAACGGTAAATTTCTAGTTCTCTTGGGCTTACTTTAATCTCTGAATTTCGATATGGAGAAGATATTGGTGTGTAGCTGAGTCGCAAGTGCTTTTGCGTAGTTCTTTTTTCCTATTGGTTGTATTTCTGATTTTAATTATCGCGTGCCAAAAATGAGGTTATTTGATATTCATTCACATTATGTTCTCCTTTTACGCGCTCACAGAAGCGAAAATAAACTAAATATATCAATCAAAAACAGGAAATACCACATTGCATTAGCACAAAATGCTGATATTTAGCAGCGACAAATTGTGCGATCGCTGAAAAATAAAAAATTAAAATGATAAATTAAATTACTCAAATAAATAATAAGCTAAAAAATATAAATCAATCACCATTACCACCATTTCCGTGGTAGAGAACTCTGGGGATTTCGTCTCCGCGGTGGGCCCTATAATAAACTATTACCCAGAATTGGGCAATAAGTTCATGACAACAGCTGTTTTTAGAACCATTAAGTCAGGCTGTTGATATCACACCGCTCTGATAGTGATCCAAGGCCATCCGATGTCCCAGCCTTCAGCCAATAGCACCTGATAGCGTCAGACACACTTGTTGACTCCACAAAAACAAAACGCACTTAAAACATGACGAAGTTAGTTAGGCAGCACTTCATTCCGTTAGGAATAGGCGCACACTGATCTATTGGCCTTCGGCATCTATATGTAGCTTGCTTTCTTAGGGAAGCCGATAGGCCGGTGTGCTCTCATTCTTAATTAAATAAATACTCACTCTATTACGACAGCTATCAAGGTAATGATAAATTTCGATTCCATTAAGTATTTATGACCAGTTGTTAGACCACAACTGTAGATAACTGACGTCATATAGGACTGCACGTCTGAGTTTTTGGTTCCAGCTTGTAGTCAGGGTTACGATTATTTAAATAATTCCAAAACAGTACTGTATTCATTCACTCGCACTTTGTATCCGAACTCGTTTAAAGACACCCTTGAGAGCTCAAAGTCATAATGGCACACAAACTGACGACTACATTGCCTTTACGCCCTAAGGATAAAGTTGGTTATTCCGATAGAGAAGTCTTTTACAAGATTCCTTGCGGCGGTTAAAGTGTAGTGTTTATGGGGTTGTACAGGAAAATTGGCTTCTAAACGCCTGCATGAAAGCCATTTGGCAGAAAAAAGGCGAGACAATTTGTCCCAATTTGCCATGCATACACTGGAAAATGGAAAAACATTTACATGGGACCAAACTTTCATTGTTGCTTTCTGTCCATTTAAGAAAGGCCATGCATTTT